TACTGTTGATCAATCCTACAGTGGTACTTCATTTTTTGTGAGCAGCAACCTACAAAAGAATGAATGAGGTCACATAAGTCATTTTCAGCTAATCTATTTTAATGTTTAACTGGGCATAAAACACAAGATCAGTACATTTGCAAGAGTAAGTATAAGATCAGCAGTGGTGTAAAGTACTTAAGTAAAAATACTTTAAAGAACTACTTAAGTAGCTTTTGGGGGTATCTGTACTTTACTATTTATATTTTTGACTACTTTTACTTCACTACATTCCTAAAGAAAATAATGTACTTTTTACTCCATACATTTTCCCTGACACCCAAAAGTACTCGTTACATTTTGACAGGAAAATGGTCCAATTCACACACTTATTAAGAGAACATCCCATGTCATCCCTACTGCCTCTGATCTGGCGGACTCACTAAACACAAATGTGTGTTGGAGTGTGCCCCTGGCTATACATCAATTTTGAAAAACAAGAAAATTGTGCCATCTGGTTTGCTTAATATAAGGAAGTTGAAATTATTAATACTTTTACTTTTGATACTTAAGTACATTTGAGCAATTCCATTTACTTTTGATACTTAAGTATATTTAAAACCAAATACTTTTACTCAAGTAGTATTTTACTGGGTGACTCTCGAGTCATTTTTGTAATGTTTTAGTCATTTAGCAGACGCTCTTATCCAGAGCGACTTACAGTTTAGTGTGTGCATACATTTTCATACTGGCCCCCTGTGGGAATCGAACCCACAACCCTGGCGTTGCAAACGCCATGCTCTACCAACTGAGCTACACGGGACTGTAAGGTATCTACTTTTACTCAAGTATGACAATTGAGTACTTTTTCCACCACTGAAGATCAGAAATCCTTTATTTCTTGCCACAATTGTATTTAGATAATATAAAAACATTTCTCAAGCTGTCACTTTCTCCAATGCAATGTAGTATAGGGGTATTGCCAATAATTCACCAGCTTTCCTCTACAGCTTTCATAATCAAGGAACATCGCATGCTCACAAAAAGAGGCAACAAAATGGTTGTCTGCCATTGTATGAGAATGACATCCATGAGTAAAAAGGTTAGTGCAATCCAGAATCGTTGGGACGTCCCTATCCTAAACCCTAACCCCTACCCTAAAGTTAACCATAACCCTTACTTAATCATTTTGAACCGTCAACTTCAAATGGGGTAAAGTCAGAGCTTGGACGTCCCAAACGGATCTGTCCCATGTGGCTCAGTTGGTAGAGCATGGCGCTTGCAATGCCAAGGTTGTGGGTTCGATTCCCACGGCAGACCAATACAGGAAGAAATACGAAAATATATCCACTCATTACTATAAATCGCTCTGGATAAGTGTCTGCTAAATGACAAAAAAATAAAAATAAGAAATCCCAGATAATAACATTCTAAAAAATTAATGATGCCAATCCATTGATTATTCTACTAAATATGATTGAGTGTGAGACATGTTTTCCATAATGTACATTTCATGCATATACATAAGAACACCAAAATCAAAGTGTTTCACCATTTATTGAGTACGGAGACAAATAGCAAATGTGTCTCGGGCAGTATTTGAAGTATCTAAATATAGTGTAACCTACCAATCAAGTACCATTGAGAGCACAATCTTACAGTCCAGAAATGAGAGCTTTACCATCTATGCCAGGGATGGACAACTTTGATGTGTGCCACACAAAAAACAGAACTCATCATGAGGGGCTGGTGAGTCTGCATGGGGGGTCTCAATACCCACAACCATTCCGAAATTGCACCTTGTGTATTCTATTATTCAAACTCTCTATACAGTAAATTGAGTCGGCGGGCCTACAAAAGGGGGGCCGAGGGCCGCCAGTTGCCCATCCCTGATCTATGCCAAAAGCATGGGCCTCTGATGGAGACTGTAGAACTGTCAACACATGCTTCTCTCTAGGAGCATGCGTGTGCCCAGACCTCATAGGTGTATCGAAAGGATCCCATCCTGGTCACCAATGTAGCTGACCGATGTAGAGAGAGACATTTACATTTGAGTCATTTAGCAGACGCTCTTACCACCTAGTTGGCCAAGGGATTTCGGTTACTGGCACAACGCTCTTAACCGCTAGGCTACCTGCCGCCCTGTCAAGACAGTGTACGGCAAAACCCACAAAGAAAAGACAACATGCAAATGCATATGTGGACTCAATGTCTAGTAGTGACGGCAGGGCTAGATTCAAACTGCAGGACTTAGCGGGAGACAATAATATACAAAGATGCTCAAACAAGCACTTGTATCTGTAGTGTGTGTTCTTCAACTCTAAGCTGAATAGATCATGTGAGACAAAAGTGACAGACAATAATTAATAAAATAAATCATCACAGCAGAGGAATGTAGTTTGTGAGCTAGAAAATGAACATCCTGACAGTCTGAGGCAGAGTGCTCTGCAATCATCCTACTCCAACTATTTGCAGGGATAATGTGGCATTTCTTATTTGTCAATATGAATGAAATTAGTGGGTCCTTCCTTGATGACGTATGGGTGGTCCTCTGTAGCTCAATTGGTAGAGCATGGCGCTTGTAACGCCAGGGTAGTGGGTTCGATCCCCGGGACCACCCATACGTAAAAATGTATGCACACATGACTAAGTCGCTTTGGATAAAAGCGTCTGCTAAATGGCATATTATATTATTATTATGACTGTATTAGATTTACACTACATGTCGTATAGATTTTTGTAGTCTTAAATTATTCCTTGGAATAAACTGAAAGCTAAAACACTCCTTGTCCCAGAATGATATGCAAGCTAGTGAAGCACAAACGTAACATATCATACTAAATGGAGTATCTCGGATTTATGTACAAAATAATACGAAATGCTCTGAGACCAGGTTGCAGTGATAAAGCAATCTGCTCATGCTAGCGAGCAACATATCTACTTGTTGTAACTAATTTAGCTAGCTATCTAGCAAGCTAGCTACATTGCTAAGGTTGCTGTGTTCTAAGTTGGGAGTCATTTTACAGCTTGCATTGATGGTATCACTTTTCTATAACTCAGGGATGCAAACTGGTGAGGGCACAAAAAGGTGACACTTTTTTTTTGTTGCACTGAAACATGCAAAAACATTCATGCTGGGGGGGATAAAAAATAAATATAAATATCAGCTTTAAAATACTAATTTCTAGTGACTTAGGCTGAATCCCTTCTTGAAATGCAGGCTAACTAATTAAACAACAAAGAATATGATCTACATGATCAGTCTGTATGTAAAATAAAAAGTGGTTAATGTGAACCTAACGCACAGCTAAAAAATTTAAGGAAAGCAATCCAATGTTATTTGTTGCCTTGACTGCAAATGACACTCAAAACCAGAGAAAAAACAATTTATTAATATTGCAGTTAGCCATGACAGCCTTCTTAATAGAAGTCTAAATATTGCATTTGGGGAAAAAAAAAAATAATAGAATTAAACAAAACAGGCATTTATTTTTTCTCTATTATAGTGGCTACGATTATAGTGGACACTATATTAGACATCGATCAAGTGCACAAAGCTATGTGTGTGCAAAAATAACTTTCACTGAGTAAAAACTAAAAGAATCCCCCCTCACTCACACACAACTGCATGTCAAGTTCAACACAACAAGAGCAATAGCTTTGGGCTACACTGCACGTTATTACATTGTACACGTCCTGCCTGTGGACATCTGTCCTACAATGTGCCAGCAGCAGAGCATGACCCTTTGTTGGCATAATTGGCCTCTTTCAGGCAAAGAACACCTGGCATACCACTTTTTATAATATCCACCGTATTGAAAAAGTGATAAAGAGGGAAAGTCTGTGGTGTTCCTTTCACCTATAGCGGCATCCAGTTTAAGCCAGGCCCAGTTCCAGCTAACGTTACACTTCATCCCTGAATCCACTTGTTTAACAAGCAACGCCTCATTTTCACGTAATGGTCACATTCTAAAAATTAAATTAACTGTAGAGGGAAAACAATAGTTCATAGATAGTAAGTTGCTAGCTAACGGAGAATTCGATCCAGCTAGCAAGATACTTAACAATGTTAACAATTCTTGTTCCACCACACAAGCGCACTCACCTCAAACCTTCCAAATGCCAGTTGTTTTTCGGTTACAGCTCATGAAGTACGCTTCCTCATCCCAGTCAGGCTTCTCACCTTCCTCTTCGTTATCGTTCAGGGGACGCGCTGCTGTAACTGTTCCACTCTCCGCTCTTTCCAGAGCTCGCGCAGATGCTGTAACTAGCACACGATCCGGTGCAACTAGCAAGTTGGTTGTCGCTTCTCTCTTCAGTCGCGTGCTTCATTCTGTTGTTATGTGAACGATTGGCTGAGCCTTGGATATAGCCAGTATTGTATCACTCATTCGTTTACAGCCAGTAGTGATTCAAAGCTCCCCCCACACTTTTCTCAACGGATCTACACGAATCACGTAGGTTACCTATTTTGGATTCAAAACGGCGAATTTCGCCTAAAGATTACTAGTTTGCATCCCTGATAACTAAATAGTTAATTACAAATAAATAAAAAATACTTTACCTGACAGCAGTTTGTCGGATGGAGAACTCTCGAGATGTCACCAGCTGTCCACTACCTTAGATACAGATAACGTGATTGGCGGACGTAATCAGCAGCAATAGTACACGAATTTTAATTGGTTTACAGTTTAGTACTCGACGGCGTTTTGGATTTTTTTTTGCAATAATTGGAAACGTGTTCAGAAGCTGCTCCCTCGAGAGAGCTCAATCATCTCGAAAACTACCGCTGATAGCTTCCTACAGCCCAACACCTAACAGTAGCCTTTTGTATTACACTCCCACTTAGTGTCAAACCCATTTAGCCATGAGGAAATACATACACACTGAGCGACTGAAATCTAGACAACCCGTGCATTAACAAGATATTGGTCTGATAGTATAGGCATTTTGGGGACAATAAAGACATATGTATTCATGTTTTAGCTACCGAGCATCAGATTTCCATCCAGATATGTTTGTAAGTTTTATATTGAATATTGAGTGGTAGCACCCAAACATCTTTATTTTCACATCAGTTCATGTTTTGGTCAGGGTTTTACATTATCTGCAAATCAATATTTCACTTAAATTGTCTATTGTGAATTGTATAAAAACATTGAATTCACTTAGAATATATATTTTTTTTTAACAACCAATTCACTGTAACTTACTGATTATGTATGATCGAATAAGAAAAGTCAGTTAGAATCTGTCTAGCAGGTTATTAACTCGTGGATCTTTCCCTCTGTAGTTACAAAGAGGAATTTAGTAACCTTTGACTCAATCCAGCACCCAAGTCAGTTCTCCAAAAAACACAAAGCCAAATGTAGTTTGTTTCTTAATTCAAAGGGCAAAACAATGGTGCACATGCAACTTCAGTCAATAAGAAACTGATTGGGGGTTGGTTCATTCAATGTAAAAGTACATTGTATGAAGCGTAAACGCTTTTCTGTTTGAGAAAAACACTTCAAATTTGATAGACGTTTCCAATCCATGGAAACAATAGCTGCAGAATCCAAACCAAGTACACATCCTATTCTCAGCCTCCTTTACTCCTGAAAGTTTTCATTTAAGGACTTTAGCTATACAAATATGGATGCTGTCTTGGTGAGAGAAGACCAGAAAAATCTTCCCCCCAGTCCCCTCTCAGAATGCAGGACTAACTGGCTTGTGTTCTGTTGTTGCATGTTGAGGTTATCCAGAGTGACCCTCCTAAATGTTCCTATCCTCCATATCTTCCCCAGGCAGGGGGCCGAATCCATCCTTCCACCCAGCAAGGAGCAACATTCCTGAAGGCTTGAGGAGAGCCTCCGGTGGGGCAGAAACATACTGACTTTCATTTAATTGGATTCTGCTGGCTCCGGTCCAGTGTGAGGCAGTGCTCCAGGTGAGGAGGAGACTGGGTGGTTGCTCTCAGCTCCCCTTGACAGGGTAAGACTGGCATCCACTGGCTGAGGAGGGGCAGTTCACTGGGTTGTGTGGGGAGGGAAATGTTTTTTTAGGAGTTGTTGGCTGAGTTCTCATTGCTGGTTGAGCTGGAGGACGGGGGTGTAGAGGAAGAGGAAAAGTTCATCCCTGATAGACCTGGAGGATTCATGGCTGTGTTCAGTCCACTTAAGCTTTTCCTGCACACTGGACATGTGTCGTGCTTTGGAAGCACACAGGGGCACAAACACAGAAGTAAGACATCATTATATATAATCAATAGTCTTCAAGAACATTATTTTATTTTCCAGAAAACTCAAGATTGTAAGTAGGGCCCACAGTTTTTAATTGACAACTTAACTTGACTAGGAGAAACTCTGGGCCAGGAAGAGGTCAGGAGAGGTCAGGAAAAGGTCATCTAGGTTTAGTTAATGATAGCACTAAAAGAAAGGTACATACATTGCCTTGCAAAAGTATTCATCCCCTTTGGCGTTTTCCTATTTTGTTGCATTACAACCTGTAATTTAAATGGATTTTGATTTGGATTTCATGTAATGGACATACACAAAATAGTCCAAATTGGTGAAGTGAAAAAAATAACTTGTTTCAAAAATTTAAAAAATAAAATAACGGAAAAGTGGTGCGTGCATATGTATTCACCCCCTTTGCTATGAAGCCCCTAAATAAGATCTGGTGCAACCAATTACCTTCAGAAGTCAAATAATTAGTTAAATAAAGTCCACCTGTGTGCAATCTAAGTGTCACATGATCTGTCACATGATCTCATATATATATATATATATATACACACACACACAGTGGGGAGAACAAGTATTTGATACACTGCCGATTTTGCAGGTTTTCCTACTTACAAAGCATGTAGAGGTCTGTAATTTTTATCATAGGTACACTTCAACTGTGAGAGACGGAATCCAGAAAATCACATTGTATGATTTTTAAGTAATTAATTTGCATTTTATTGCATGACATAAGTATTTGATCACCTACCAACCAATAAGAATTCCGGCTCTCACAGACCTGTTAGTTTTTCTTTAAGAAGCCCTCCTGTTCTCCACTCATTACCTGTATTAACTGCACCTGTTTGAACTCGTTACCCGTATAAAAGACACCTGTCCACACACTCAATCAAACAGACTCCAACCTTTCAACAATGGCCAAGACCAGAGAGCTGTGTAAGGACATCAGCGATAACATTGTAGACCTGCACAAGGCTGGGATGGGCTACAGGACAATAGGCAAGCAGCTTGGTGAGAAGGCAACAACTGTTGGTGCAATTATTAGAAAATGGAAGAAGTTCAAGATGACGGTCAATCACCCTCGGTCTGGGGCTCCATGCAAGATCTCACCTCGTGGGGCATCAATGATCATGAGGAAGGTGAGGGATCAGCCCAGAACTACACGGCAGGACCTGGTCAATGACCTGAAGAGAGCTGGGACCACAGTCTCAAAGAAAACCATTAGTAACACACTACGCCGTCATGGATTAAAATCCTGCAGCGCACGCAAGGTCCCCCTGCTCAAGCCAGCGCATGTCCAGGCCGGTCTGAAGTTTGCCGATGATCCAGAGGAGGAATGGGAGAAGGTCATGTGGTCTGATGAGACAAAAATATAGCTTTTTGGTCTAAACTCCACTCGCTGTGTTTGGAGGAAGAAGAAGGATGAGTACAACCCCAAGAACACCATCCCAACCGTGAAGCATGGAGGTGGAAACATCATTCTTTGGGGATGCTTTTCTGCAAAGGGGACAGGACGACTGCACCGTATTGAGGGGAGGATGGATGGGGCCATGTATCGCGATATCTTGGCCAACAACCTCCTTCCCTCAGTAAGAGCATTGAAGATGGGTCGTGGCTGGGTCTTCCAGCATGACAACAACCCGAAACACACAGCCAGGGCAACTAAGGAGTGGCTCCGTAAGAAGCATCTCAAGGTCCTGGAGTGGCCTAGCCAGTCTCCAGACCTGAACCTAATAGAAAATCTTTGGAGGGAGCTGAAAGTCCGTATTGCCCAGCGACAGCCCCGAAACCTGAAGGATCTGGAGAAGGTCTGTATGGAGGAGTGGGCCAAAATCCCTGCTGCAGTATGTGCAAACCTGGTCAAGACCTACAGGAAACGTATGATCTCTGTAATTGCAAACAAAGGTTTATGTACCAAATATTAAGTTATGCTTTTCTGATACTTATGTCATGCAATAAAATGCAAATTAATTACTTAAAAATCATACAATGTGATTTTCTGGATTTTTGATTTTTAGATTCCGTCTCTCACAGTTGAAGTGTACCTATGATAAAAATTACAGACCTCTACATGCTTTGTAAGTAGGAAAACCTGCAAAATCGGCAGTGTATCAAATACTTGTTCTCCCCACTGTGTGTGTGTGTGTGTGTGTGTATATATAGGCAAGGAGGGCATTAATCAGAGGCAACAAAGAGACCAAAGATAACCCTGAAGGAGCTGCAAAGCGCCACAGCGGAGATTGGAGTAGCTGTCCATAGGACCACTTTAAGCCGAACACTCCACAGAGCTGGGCTTTACGGAAGAGTGGCCAAAAAAAATAAAGCAAACACATTTGGTGTTCGTCAAAAGGCATGTGGGAGACTCCCCAAACATATGGAAGAAGGTACTCTGGTCAGATGAGACTAAAACAGAGCTTTTTGGCCATCAAGGAAAACGCAATTTCTGGCGCAAATCCAACACCTCTCATCACCCCGAGAACACTATCACCACAGTGAAGCATGGTGGTGGCAGCATCATGTTGTGGGGATGTTTCTAATCGGCAGGGATGGGGAAATTGGTCTGAATTGAAGGAATGATGGATGGCGCTAAATACGGGAAATTATTGAGGGAAACCTGTTTCAGTTTTCCAGAGATTTGAGACTGGGACGGAGGTTCACCTTCCAGTAGGACAATGTCCCTAAGCATACTGCTAAAGCAACTCTCAAGTGGTTTAAGGGGAAACATTTAAATGTCTTGGAATGGCCTAGTCAAAGCCCAGACCTCAATCCAATTGAGAATCTGTGTTATGACAAATATTGCTGTACACCAGCAGAACCCATCCAACTTGAAGGAGCTGGAGCAGTTTTGCCTTGAAGAATGGGCAAAAATCCCAGTGGCTAGATGTGCCAAGCTTATAGAGACATACCCCAAGAGACTTGCAGCAGTAATTGCTGCAAAAGGTGGCTCTACAAAGTATATACTATTTTTTTTTGGGGGGGGGGGGGGGGGGGGGGGGGGGTGAATAGTTATGCACGCTCAAGTTCTGTTGTTTTATCTTATTTCTTGTTTGTTTCACAAAAAAAATATTTTGCATCTTCAAAGTGGTAGGCATGTAGTGTAAATCTAATTATACAAACCCCCCAAAAATTCATTTTAATTCCAAGTTTTAAGGCAACAAAATAGGAAAAATGCCAAGAGGGGTGAATACTTTCACAAGCAATTGTATGAGTGGAAAGGTCTTACCTGTTCTAGCCAGGGTACGATGCAATCATTGTGAAACAAATGATTACATGGAAGTTGCCTAACGTTTTCTCCAGCACTGTAGTCTTCTTTACACACTGGACATTCTAGACCTGAGCCTGAAAACAGAAAAACAAATTCAAGATGTAAATGTGTTCAACAAAGGCTTAAAAACACCCCCAAACCCTATGACCTGCTGATTTTCATATAAAATGAGCAAGACCACAACAAGTCCAGCCCACAGGGCCTGAGGTGATGCACTTGACTGTGCTGTGTGTGACTGTTGTGTGCGTGCGTGTTGATGTTCAGGGTCACTTACCTACATGCTCCTGTGTGATTAGGATTGTGGGAAGGCTCTTGATTTTGTCCCCATCAGCTGGCGGAGGGCCAGTGTTCTCAAACTGATTTAATAACTATGGGACACAAAAAACTACACATTTATTTTATACTGTGTGGATCATGCTAACCAAACAAATAATATTTTCACAATCCATATATGCAGGTGTTTTTTGTTGTTGAGTTTGACAGTTAATTTAGAAATGTTTAATAATGTGCGTGGTAAACAGTCACTACGTACCTGTGTAATGATTGCATCTAGTCCGTTGGCACCCCAGGCGTAATCCATGGGGTTTGAGTGAAGCACGCCCCTATAATTAAGATAAACAAACAAAAGTCAGCTGGAATACAAAGAGTCAGTTGGAAAACTTCAAAGTTTTACATAAAAACAATAGGTCATAGACTAAGTTGAACTCACCAGGGTCCCACACCAATATTTGGCACTGCTGTAGGGGCGATTATTCCATTCACTAGCTGCTGAATGATTCTACAAGAGGACATAACATTTTGGTTATGTTCTGCATGCATCCAAAAATAAGACCTAACTTCATCATTGCCTACATAGAACATGGGCGACAAGCTATGTCATCAAAGCTCAGAAGAAAAGAGACAAGTCTATCACTGGGAACATAATGTGAATCATGGAAAAGTTAAAAAGGTCCCACAAGTCACTGAGCTTACCCCTCTAAAGTGGGCACTCCCTCAGGTCTCCCTGCCTGCCTCCTAACGCCATGGCGACCGCGAGGTTGCCTGGCGCTGTATCGCTGCCGTGATGCCATCTCCCGTTCTCGCCGGTTCTCTGCGTCGCGGTTGTCCTCTGTTCCGAACCCTGCTCCTCCTAGCCCTGCTCCTCCCAATCCCACACCGAAGTCAAAGGAGTCGTCAAAGACACCCATAGCAAACTGGCCGTAACCCGAGGGGAATGTAAACATATTTGAAGGGTCCACATTCTACAAGAAAAGGACGTTTCACAAACAGACGCATTCATAAATTACTTGGAGTTCTTTCTGTACATACTATTCAATGTTTATAGTCAACAGAAATCCCAACTAGGCCTATGTCAAAAACCAGGTCTGATTTTACCTGAAGAAATCATTCCAGAATGCATGAAGGTGTGTTTCTTTGTTTGTTCTTTGTTTGCTAAAATAACAATATCATGGTCTAGCCTGTGTTTCTCAATAAGTAGAGTAAATAAGCTGAAAAACCTCAAATGGCTGTTGGTTCTGGTCACCGCTGGAGATGGTGGATGTGGACCCATTTTCACTGCTGTTCAGGAAGAGAAACATAGAAAACAGTTAGCATTTTTGGAGAGAGATTTTATTAAAATTTGTGCACACCCTCTTGACCATAGTGGTGTAATCATAGGTGAAAAGTTAAGTGACGCCAAGTGACAAAATCTAGTGACAAGGTTGCTGACATCTTTAATCAGAATGTCAACAGAATGCTTGCTTTGACGTCACACATTCAACAAACCGTCTCTCCTCCAGCAGTTCCTCGATGAAGCCAGATTCACACCGAGGACATGTGTAATCCTGCAAACAAATATTACAATGCCTTTAGGTGTCATTTTTGCATTCACTCTACCACAAACAGGCTAGCAATCAGCTATTGAATCCCTACTTTACTACATTCAACTATGTGTGTGGCCAACTTGACAGAGAACAAAATGACAAAAAGGAGATGATAACCCAATTAAAATACACTGTTAAGAACAATCAAGAAAATAATCCTGAAGGAGTTGAATTGTGTTCAGTATTTAATTCAGTGTTCATTACCAGCAAACTGGGGAAAGCCTACTGATTAACATGTTTCATTGTGAGTGACACCTTTAGTATTCTATGACAGATCATTCCAGCACCTGACTGCTATGCTGGTGTGACTACTGAATGGCACACACACACAGCAAGAAAGAATGCACTGTGCCATTGTCGCTGTGACTAGAATTTCAACACGAGACATAATATTTTAGGTTTGGCATTGGAATCTGCCAGCAAATGACCAACCTCTCTCCTCTACATGTCTATGCTTTCTACAGAAAACATAAATGCCATCATCATGGAAATATTTTACCATAAATTGTTCTTTGAAGATGCAGGAAAAATCAACATCTCATATGACTAACGTTAACTAAATACAAATCTCCCTCTGCTTTAGCTGATGCCTACATTATGTTTGGTTACTGAATTGAATCCTTTAGAAATAATTTATGACTAATCTGGATGCAACTGTCATCACATGCCATTGCCAAGCATTGCTGATGCATTCCTTGGCTAAGAGTGTTTGTCCCATGTGTTGTCAGATTTCTAGGTAGCTAACTAGCTATGTTGTTCACATTTAAATCTTGCATAGATTAATAATGAGTTGTGAGTATACAATAATTGTTGTCAAGTTAATTTCATGCCCTAGCTAAGTAAAGCTGGTTAACGTTAGCACGCACACAACCAGGCGAACTAGCTAGCTAATGTTAGCTACAAACGACGCAACAGAACATAGTCTAGCTAGCTAGCTTGACCGAGAAACACATCAGATACGCTTAGTTAGCTAGCGAACTAATTAGTCTCTGATTTTACAAGCTATCTTTCTATCTTAAAATATGAGCTAACTAGGCTAGTTCTCCTTAGCCAGCTAACGGTCAGCTGCAAAACATGGACAATCTGGTTAGCTTAGCTCAATGAACGTGTATATATGAAGGGCTTAGCTAGCCAGCTAGCTATAAATGCTAAGGACTCCAAACGTTCAAGACCAACAACAATATATCTACTCTGCTAGACCAATTGTCTTTCACTTCTTGCTTCTTGTCAACGTTACTTACGGGGAGACGAGGGCTGATCTCTTCCGAACATCTGTGACAGAAAAACCGGCTGGGCCATGGAGGTGCTTCCGCCATTTTTTTGGTTCTCTGTTGAAGGGTTCAGTTGGGGGGGTCCTCACTAGTTACCACAGCCACAAAGTCATAATTATAGCTAAACCCAGACTATTTCTACAATTTATCTTCTTAATATCTGATGTTAAACCTAACCTTAACCCAAACATTAACCACACTGCTAACCTTATTTCCAACCCTAACCTTGAATTAAGACCAAAAAGCTAATTTTTGTTTTCATTAATTTTTACGATATAGCCGAAGATAGTACAGTATGCTTCTCAATAGAAATCCCCGATCACACTTATAGGCGATGTCTTGGCGACGTTGGCTAGCTAAACTCATGCGTAAAACACGTCATCGGGTCTAACGGTCGTCTCGCGCCAAACGCGCAGTTTGGCGTGCAGGCCGTCAAATTAAAGGCACTCCTTCGATATAAAGTTATTTTTGACAAAAATGAAAACGTGTCAGTAAAAACTGCCTTTGGATTTCGAGAAAATGAACAACTAACGAATAATATTTGACTTCTCTCATTGACTTCTTAAACTCCAAATCCCGGCCTGGTCTGTTTGGTCTGTTTGGTCTGTTTCGCAAGCGTTCCCGGAAGTATAGCGATGTTGCGCCTCTCGGTTTAGAAACTCTGTGAAATAGCCAATTTTGAGTTTGTGGCTGTGGTAACTAGTGACAACAGTGAAGACAGTACGGAGTAATGAAGGAGACAAGAATAATTGGCTCACTAGAATATATAAAGCGCTTAGAATGAAATCCTTCAAACTTCCCAAATGTGTTTTTACATTTATGTTATTCCACATATTCAAACTAGCAAAATAAAAAATATGTAATCTTGAATTAGGCCTAAATGAGCATTTTCCCTCCTTTGAACAACGTTGCACTAATTTTGACCGAGAAACGCATCAGATACGGTTAGTTAGCTAGAAAGCTAGTCAGTCTGATTTTACAAGCTATCTTTCCAGCTTAAAATATGAGCTAACTAGGCTAGTTCTCTCATTAGCTAGCCAGAACAAGCAAATTAGCAATACTACATCTTCATGTCCTTGCAAATTATGTTTGTTGGATAGGTAAGAAACTTAGCTAGCCATTTTAAGTGTTTCTAAGCAGTGTCCTACATTAAACCATGAAGAACTCGAATTATGGCTAACATATGACTTGATGTTTCTTTAACTCATGGGCCTAAATTGAGCTATTGTAATCCATCTACATATTTAAATTTGTCATGATTTTTATGAAATTAAAATGAACAAAAGACACATTTATAACAAAATAAGTTTAGGGGAATAATAAGATGAGCAATGTATATTTCACTTTTCTGATGGCAGTTCTATGCACTATTGCCACACGGTGGTGCTTTTGTGTCCTATATCTCTTTACAGCTGATCTCCAGCAAATATTGCAGTTCAGCAGGTAAAGTATTATATTCCCAAATTCTTCATATCAATGTACAAGATTGTGGTACATTTAGTGACCAGTTGAGAACCTATTGAAAACCATCCTTTCACCGTATGTGATACTAAAAGATCCAGGGCCCAATGAGATCATGCTGTCTAAATGACCAAATCGCCCTCTAGTAGCCTCATGGGTGGAATGTTATGAATATATTTCATAATTTCATAATTTATATTTAAAAAATAATTTATCCCCGAAAATCTGGTGTTTCTATGTCAAACGGTTTTGTTATATTTCAGTCTTCTGTGATGTATATAGAGTGTAATAGTGGGATGCAAACTCAACATTTTATACATTTCAACTCTTTATCTGACATGGTACAGGTGTTGTCTTTTTTAAAAGCCCATAACCATGTGTTTGAGGTGTATACTTTTGTTTCAAAGTAGATTTGTTTAAGACTACCAAGAAACACTCTGTGTGACCCTGATTTAGCCCACTGCAGTAAAAGGTTATATTACATATTTGGGGGCTTTGACAAGCTGTGGGTTTCAGAGATATTTTAAATATACAAAGTTGATATGTATATAGTATCGATCTATTTATCTGTTGTTAATGCACATAATAGTTCAAACATCAACTATTTAAAGCTAGAATGTACTGCCCAGGTGATCTTTTAGTTATGTAAAAGAGGGAAGCTTGATTGATAAGACCCAGTGCACCATGCAGGTCTGTTTTTATTTTGGAGAAGAAAAATACATGTCCTTTGATATTTCACTCTTTCACAAGTAGCTTTAACTTTATCTCCAGAGAGACATAACAGAAGTGATTTATAGTATGAAAATGTATGCACTCACTAACTGTAAGTTGCTCTAGATAAGAGCATCTGCTAAATTACTAAAATGTAAATGTAAATTTATAGTCAGCGCTGGCGGCTTTGTAAGATATCACTCCAGCATCCAGGGGTATTGAGTTTGCTGTGCTACCTTGAGCCATACAGTATTTCCAGTACTTGGCACCAAATGTTGAGAGTAAGTAGGAGTTTCCGCCTGACTGTCCTGCAGCCAATCCCTGCTATCCAATCTGCTCGGGTGATTTTGATGTGTTATTTCATACTCCTGCCATACCGAAACCATTATGTTTAGTAAATACAGAAGCCATAGACCAAGCATAGAATAGAATGAGGCCAAAGTAGGGTACTTTTTATTGATTTGGACTAAATACAACATGTTTTGCCAACATACCTTTAAAGCTAATTAGAAAAATGGCAGAAAATGCATAGTAAACACATAATGTACAAATTTCCCCACCTAATATACAAATGACCATGCCCTTGTGGGTCATTATGCCTTTAAAAATATTTTCCATCATATTAGTTAGTCCAACACGAGGACTATTTCTCTTTGAAAACATTTCACAGTGATATAATATTATGTCCCACTGGTCACACCACTTCATTTCAACGTGGACATTTAGGTAATATTTGGTTGAGAAGTTGATCAATGAGATTTCAACATTTATTCACCCATGAAAAAAGACAGCCAGAAGTTTGTTGAATTCTCAATGTGTTATCACTATGATTTCAACCATCTAAAAGCACAACCAAATTCCAATGGAAAAACAATGTTTGATTTTTGGTTTAGTTGTCATCACGCAAAGATCAAATGGGAATACAATGTCAAATATTTTGTTTATTTATACAACAGATTAATCTGTTATCACTGTGCATCATCTAATAGCACCACCACATGATCTTGATTGCAATTGATATTAGATTAAAAGCACATGTGGGCGGCAGGTAGCCTAGTGGTTAAGCGTGTTGGGCCAGTACCCGAAAGGTTGCTGGTTCGAATCCCCTTGACGACTAGGTGAAAAATATCTCAATGTGCCCTTGAGCAAGGCATTTAACTCAAATGGTTCCTTTAAGTCGAGCGTCTGCTAAATGACTTGAATGTGCAATTGATCAATTCTGTTTGAGATTCTGCACAGATTATTATAGCAATTGTGAAGATCTCCACAGACCTGCAATCTTTGCATACTATCTTGAACACGCTTGGGGCGCCAGAGGAGAGTGTCACCACGGTGGCCGACCCCCTGAAGAAGAAAACCCTGCGGCTGGAGATCTCCTCACTCCTGGACAAGAGTGCCAACCGCAGGATCGAGACATCAGAACGGCTAGGTGGGTTCTACTCCACTTATTTTGTGGTCCCAAAAAGAAACGGAGGGTTTCGACCGATTCTGGACCTCCGCAACCTCAATGGATACTTGAAGGTACTGAGGTGCCACATGCTGTCCCCAGCCCACGTGTTGCAGGCCGTGTCCAGGGACCAGTGGTTTGTGATGCTGGACCTGAGGGATGCGTACTTCCATGTTCCTGTTCACCCAGCTCATTGGCAGTACCTCCGATTCGCTTTCGAAGGGACGGCTTACGAATTCATGGTTCTTCCCTTCGGTCTCTCCTTGGCATCCCGCACTTTCACAAAGTGCATGGACGCTGTCCTGGCATCTCTCACGTCCCGAGGATTGTTGATCCTCAATTACCTGGACGATTGGCTAATTTGTACCCCGACCAGGACCCAAGTCCTGTCAGACAGAGACACGTTCCTGACCCACATCGGTGGGCTGGGCATTACTGTAAACGACAAGAAGAGTTGTCTGACGCCCACCCAGAGGGTGGCCTTCATTGGCATGGAACTGGACTTAGTCCTCATGAGAGCATGCCTGCCCACCAGAAGGGTTCAGGCGATCTTATCTTGCCTCGATCACTTTCGGCAGGGGTGGGTGGTATCCGCCCTGACCTGCCAACGCCTGTTGGGCTTGCTGACGGCGGCCTCGTTGCTGATTCTCCTGGGCCTGCTCCATCTCCGGCCTCTTCAACGGTGGTTCAACTCCCACCGGCTGCACCCGAAGCGCCACCGTCACCGCCAGCAGCAGGTGACCGCACAGTGCCTCAGGGCTCCTTTCTCTCAGGTGGGGTAGAGATGCTGAGGATGTGCCGCCAGGAGCTGGTCAGCACAGATGCCTCCCAGATCAGCTGGGGGGGTGTGACCAAGGGCAGGTCGGCCAGCGGCTGTTGGCTACCCCCTTGGAGCGGCAGGCACATCAATACACTAGAGCTCCGAGCTGTACTGCTGGCCCTGCAGTCTTTTCTTCCACATCTGAAGGGAAGACATGTCCTGGTGAGAACGGACAACACCACAGTGGTGGCTTATATCAACCATCAGGGTGGACTAGCGTCTCTACACGCAGCGCACGTACCTGGCATCCTGAATGTGGCAGCGGATATGCTCTTGAGGGAGGGCCCGCCACCTTGGGACTGGAGCCTACATTCCCAGGTGGTGCAGCACCTGTGGGACAAGTTCGGTAGAGCGCAGGTGGACCTGTTTGCCTCCCTGGGCAATGCACACTGCCCCTTATGGTACTCCATGTCGGAGCCACCAGGGCCTATGGGCTTGGATGCTCTGGCTCACGATTGGCCAGGGCTGGAGCTTTCCGTCGTGCTGGACAGGACCAGGATGGCGGAGCATCGTCTGCTGCTGGTGGCCCCATACTGGTCCAGACGACCCTGGTTCAGCCTTCTCCTGTCCCTGTTGTCTGGGACACCTTGGCAACTGTCCCTGAGACCCGACCTGCTGTCTCAGGCCGGGGGAACTCTGTGGCATCCGAGACCGCACCGCCTCAGTCTA